GGCCCGCTCCCCGCGCGCAGAGCCCAGGGAGTCGCCCCAAACCACCTGGACTGCTCAGAACCGAGACAGACCCAGATGTGGAATCTCTGTCCTCATTCCAGGGGTTCGGGTGACCAGGGTCCCTGGCCCAGTCGCTCGTAGAGGGCAGCTCGCCTAGGCCCAAGGCTGCAGGGTCATGGATGTGCTTGGTGTCTGGGGCGCCCACGCTGTCCTGGGGTGTGTCCTCTTTCCTGGGACTGGTCTGGGACCTGCCCGGGACAGTCGCTCCGGAACTGGGACACGCTGTCTCAGGAGCTCAAGGAAATCGCCCGAATTGCATTCACGGCAGCCCCAGGCCTGGCCTTCCCCAGACAGGACGAGAAAAGCCTGTCCGAGCTGCGCTAGCTTGCCTGAGAGGTGCCTTGGAGAAAGTTGACTTTTACAACGCATGGATCAGTCTCATTTTGTGAAATGGGATTGTTTCCAATGGCATTTTTTACGACTGTATTTTTGGGGCTTGTAAAACCCCCTTGAATTAGCTTTAAAATCCTCAATTCTGTGGAGATTGAAGAAACACTATTTATATGATTTGGTTGAATTCCCAGAGGGTGATTATAAGCTCTGTAAAACTCTGGCAAATGCAGAGAATGGGGTTCATACTTGGGGGGGGGGGTGATGCCCCTTAGGAATCTGGGAACGATTTTCTTAATCTCTTCCTTGCTTTTTAATTTTTTCCCCCTGCCCTTACTTCCCCCAAAGGAAAAAAATTGGGGAAAAAATACTAGGCTCAGGTTAGTTAGGTGCACAGAGCCTAGCGTGCACCCCTGAAAGCAGCTGTTGCCCACCTCTGGGGGCTGTGCCCAGAAGCCTTCTGGCTGTGCGTGCCCCAGTCAATCCAAGCTGGGAAAGTTTCTCTTTTGCATATATAAACAAGGGCCTGGCAGGACAGGATAGAAATTTACATTTCCCTTGCATTTCTTCAGGGAAAGGATTAGACGAAAATAAAAACTCAAGAGTCAAGAATTTTTAAGGGAATTCTTTTTTAAAGCTATTTTCCAAGAAAATCATGTTTGAATTATTGTTTCTTAAATAAGACCACAAGAGGACAGCGATTTCAAGCAAGATATTATGTAAAATTAAAAAACACCATTTGGAGATGTTGATAAATGATTACGTTTATAATTCTGCTTCATTCCTTCAGGTTCCACACATTGGGGCTAGTGGCAGTTTACTACTCTTATTATTTGTTATGGTTTGACCTGGATTCTCAATCTAATAATGCTCCCAGCCAACAAGAGAATTTGATTTCTCAGCTAAGAGCCAAAAAACAAAACAAAACAACATTATATTTCTAGTTTCTATAGGCACTAAGATGAACAAATATATTAAATTAAAATCTCCACACGTTAGCCAAGGCTGGTACATATCATGTTGGCAGCTGCCCAAATCTATTTCTCCAACCAGTGACTATATATATATATATTAT